CTAGAAGTCACGAAAACGAAAATTCTCATGTTTTTACCAAAGTGATGCTGTGCTGCCCCTTAGTAGATAGTTGTGTACTATTAGCCTGCGGAAGTATAAACATAAATTTTCAGCTCTCTACAAGCAGTAGTTTTCGAGAAATATTGAATATAGCTTGCCTTACTTGAATGCCTTACGCTAAAATCCATATTTCTCGAAAACTACTGCTTGTAGAGAGCTGAAAATTTATGTTTACACTTCCGCAGGCTAATAGTACACAACTATCTACTTAGGGACAGCACAGCATCACTTTGGTAAAAACATGAAAATTTTCGTTTTCGTGACTTCTAGCCAAGCAAAAAATACGGCACCGGCGTAAATAAATGTCTTAGACGGATAGTGTTTACATGAGCAAGTTAGAATTTTTGTAGGATTTTTTTGAACGGAGTTACGAATTTTTATCGATTTTTCAGGCATTTAAATCTTTTTAGTTTTCGCGTTGGAACTCGAGATGTAACATAGCTAGTACAAAAGCAAAACAGCCATCTTGTAGAGCTTGCTTTGATCTATCGAATGATACCTTGCAACTTATCTAGAAATGAAAAGTGTATGACTTATCGCGATCGAAATTCAAAACGGACGGAACTTATGGGACAACCTGATAGTTTAATTATTTGTGTTTTATTAGGTCGTTCCGAAAGTAATGTCGCTTTTTCAAATGAACGCCACATTTCACGGGATCAAGATTTACAAGAGATCTTAAAAGTATTTGATGCAGCATTTCATCCACTTTCTAACAGTTGTAATATCATTGCATACTTTTCATTGAGCTTTCGAAAAATTAACAAAATCTGCAACTCATGCTTTTTGCCATGGTCAAGTTCGGCAATTTTTTAAAATTCTTGTACCTATTCTTCGAAGAAGTACAAGTGGCAGGTAGATAGAGCAAACCCTATAGGACACAGAGTAATTTTTTTCTTTTCCTTAGCTTGCTTCTTACAGTTTCTGGAATCATTTTTAAAATGCCATCAAATTCGATATTTGGTCAACTCAAACCTCACAGAACAACAACCAGCAAACAACTCGGGTGTCATTCGACGCAGCTTTTTCTCCTCTTTTTAACAGTTGTTTTCGGTTTCCGATTCATCAAGTTTTCCGAGATAAAATCATCATAATTCAGGTTTTTCAGGGCGCCTCCGGCTGTACCCGGAATTTTCGAAAGTTGCTAATCTGAAGCTGTAAACGCTCATTTGCTTTGTAAAATTAGTGTAAAACCATATTCCTTTCTTGTAAGTTTCAAAATCCGACGATTTCTTGGTGTTTGATGCATTTGTGTCTGAGACGAGCCTGCTAAATTCGGTGGTTCCATCAAAAAATTTATACAGAAATTATGACGAGCTCTGAAAAGTAGAAAAAAGTTGTGCTGTTTCCCGTAGGGTTTGCTCCATCCATACATAACTTGGACTCCTTCCGGTTGTTGTTATGAAAATTGGAAAAATTGTGAAACTTGACCTTCTCAAAAAGCATGGTCGCAGATTCCGATAATTTTTCCAGAGGTTATTCAATTTTGTGCGGTAGTTATTTAGCCATTAGAGAGAGAAAGAAATGCTGCATCAAATGCTACCAGAATCTCTTATACATCTTTGTTCCACGAAATGTGGCGTACGTTTGAAAAAATCGACATTACTTTTGGAACGACCTAATATTATTACTATTTTTTTCCTCAAAATAAATGTCGTTAAATCTATTTGATTATTATATTAGGTCGTTCCGAAAGTTCTTTCCGATTTTTCAAACTATCATAAAAACACGTGGAATGAAGGTAGGGAAACGCTTTAAGCGCTATCCGGCGCATCTTTTTTCCTCTTTTTAAAGGTCATACTCATGTGCCGTTTGCTCTTGTGTTCAATGAGATAATGGACGAAATTTCGAACTAATGGTTTTTACCATGTCCAACTTTGGCGAATTTTCACAATCTTTTTCTTTGACTTTTGGAAGAGCTTTGATAGCATCTCAGATAGAGCAAACAAAGTGCAATTCAATAAATTTTTTTTGGCAATTTCAACTGGCTTCTCATTATTTTTTGGACTACTTTTTCAGAAGTCTTCACTTTTTCAAAGTCAAAAAACACACAAACGCTCCGAACATTAACATTTCTCTGATTTCGACACTTTCGAATGTCGTTTATGATTTCCGACTATTTTTATAAAGTGACTGAGTGTTTGCCGCTTCGAAATGTAAGATTTCGCATTTCACGTGTACACCCTTTGGCGAGTCCAAAATCAAGAATTAGCAAATTTTATCGCCAAAACCCCCCACAAATCGAGAAGAAAATTGCTCAGTAGAAAGAGGAGGAAAAGCTGCATCGAATGACACCTTAGATGTGCGCCGTTTTATGTTCTATTGTTCTTGGCATCACCTTTGTTCACTCTATTTGATTGCTATCAAAGCTTTTCCAAAGGCACCCGCCATACTTACCCCTCTTGATCCGCTTGATCCGCTTAATCCGCTTGATCCGCTTGATCCGCTTGCTCCGCTTGCTCCGCTTCTTGCAGGACGCGTGCAAAACACGCGCACACAGCACTCTGTCATTTGGCGCCGCGTACGCCGAAATTGCACCTGCGGCCAGCGATAGATTCTCACAGAACACAAGCTTTTCCCAACTTGTTCATGTGTAAGCGGCTTCCATCGCTATGTAACTTCGTGTTTACATGCGTATTTTGCTACTATTCAGTATTTGTGTCAAGTCGTCATCATGGTGCATGTTTTATCTTGCAACATGTTACAGAACATTTTGCCTTCTGTGAAGACCGAAATATGTCTTTGTAGGGAAAATATCGGATAGAGAATTGTCACGCTAACAAGATAAACCTTTGCATCATGATGACTGAGGTGGTTTTGAGGGCTGCTCTAGAGGATTCAGACAATAGTCAGACGCCGTTTATACTTTGTTTCTATTTTCGGCCCATTTCCAACTCGCCATTGGTTCTGTTCGATTGCTTTGAGTTTGATCTGCTTGATTACAGTTTTCAGTGTGTAAAGAGTGACTAATTATAAGATTTCACTATAACAATTATAATTACTTTCAAGTTCCCTTAGCTTTATCGATCTCGTCTACTCACACTTACAAACGATCAAAGCGAATGATGCTAATGTTTGTTGTTTTCGGCTTCGCCAAGCATCATAAATCAATTCCTCTCTTCACCCGGTTTTCCCAGAGTACATTTGCTTGTGTAAGCTAACTTTTCAGTTGTTGTTAGTTGTGGATATATTCTCTTTTCACGTATGATTGCCTTTCTTTTCAACACTTGAATTGTGTACATCTTGACGTTTTTTGAGAGTGTTCAAACAAAAGCACTTTTCAGGCAGGCTGTATCGAAATCATTCCAGCCACTCATAATCGCTGACGTTGGAGCATTGCTGCTTTTCTTTCAACGAGTAAGTTTGGCTTTTTTCAAAAAGCATATACAGTCTGTCCCAATCAGGTCAGTGTTGCGCGTCACCATCAATGTGCTTCATGTGTTTACAGCTTTACAAATATTATAAGCCAACGTCTCGTCCTGGTCTCATTTGGGACAGGCTGTATCTTATGCGACCGTGGACTAAGATAATCGCCAGGGGCAGGCGGTTCGCAAACTCGCGCTTTTCTGCAAGCGGTCAGCAGAATTTGGGGGTTTGCCCAAACCTTCAGCGGGCGGCATTTGCTTTACGGTCGCGTATTCTGCCAGCGGGCAGCAATACAGCATTTTCTGCAAGCGCTCGGCATATAATTTCCTTCAGCGAGCGCTGGCCAAACTTTCAGCAAGCGGTCGGGCTCTTTTTACGCAGTTTTGTGCGTACGCCGAGCAAAGATGAACTATGTGGCAGAGGTGTTACCGATGTTAATTACCCGAGTTTGAAATACCTTCTCTAAGCGGAAGGTACCGACGGGCTGTGCGGTCCTTCACAAAGGACGTGCGGCCCTCCATAATCTACATATTCTCGCGGAAAGTTTGCGAGAATGCGGCCACTTGGCCGCAACTTATTCATAGAAGGGCCGCGATAGTTCTCCGAAAATTCGTCCAAAAATTGGCCAAATTTATTTCAGATTTCTGCAAGCGGACTGCAAAAAATTAGCGAACTATTTTCCCGGTGCCCGCTTGCTCAAAATTTGCATGGCCGCCTGCTCCCGGCGATTATCGTATGTGTAAAACAGGGCAGCAAAGGCTCACCTTTCCTGTTTTGGATTACGATTATTTTGCACTTTTTACCGGGTATGAGGCAAGCCAGCAACAGCAGCTAAAGGCTGCTGCACTAAGGCGCAGAAGCGCCATTAGTTGAGCGGGCGCGAACGCGGCGCGCACGTACCCTCACCGTTGTAAATCCTGTGCCTCATGCGCTCTGTGGCTAATAGAGCCGCGAGCGCGCCCAAAGGTAATGTGCCTTCGTCATGCAGCAGCCTTTATCTGTTTGGTTTGATTTTTTCCAAAAGCAGCGAACAGATAGGATTCGGACAATGAGCTGTTCTTCTGGGCCTTGTCCTGAATTGAGGAGTGCTGTCGACACCTTAAAGGACCGTCCACCCAAAATCTCAAATTCAATATTTTTGTCGCCTTCAGGGCTTCTGAAAGCCCTGATTCCGAGTATGGAGTCGGAAATCCGCGAAACTTCCAAAAATCCCTGTTTCGAGAACCCTCTGCAACAAGCGCAGGCGAGATAAAGCATGCAAGTGGGCGGGGCGGCCATGGTCGCCCCGCCTACTTTGCTACTTTTGGAGCAGAATTCTCGCTCGAAGCAGTCTTTTGCGGCGAAGCTTGGGGGTTAGCCTAGTGTGGGCCCCACACTAGTCATAATCTCGCCAACCTCCATTTTGGGTGGACGGTGCCTTCAAGCGTTTTTTTCTCCAGCCAGAATCGGCATTTTACATCCGCGAGCGGGTTGTGGCTCGAATGAGGGACTGTTGTAGTAATCCGTTGAGATCGAAATGCTCTCGCATCTGCACGGGCCCTGTTCAAGATAATATTTGCTTTTTGCTTCAGACGATGGATCAGGCGGAACAAGCTTACCTTTGTTTGTGTGTTGAGGAGGAACGTGCTATTTGGGACACGTCATCTGACGCTTATCTAAGCAAGACCCTGAGGTTGGAGGCGTAGGATAGAATCGAAGCAAGCATGAAAAAGCACGGTTATAATAGGACCAGTGAGTGCGAAGGGTTTTTTTTGTAGTGCCGCAGCGGACTGCAGGAGACTGCAGTGGTCGCAGCATAAAACAAAGAACGACATCGACGAGCGGTCAGTTGGTCTGTTGTAGACAGGGCGGCAGTATGAAACAACCCGAAGCCGCATCCAATGTCCGAATGTCTACACCGACAAGAATCTCCTTTAAAATCGCCCGCGCCTGCGTGCATCTCAAGGGGCAGTGGCTCGGCAGATTCGCAATTATGTTGGAAAACACGGAGCCACAATATTGCCGAGTCACTGCGCTTGGCACAGGGTTAGATTGAAAAAAGCGTATAGAATCCCAGTAGTCCTGGCGCGATCTCCATCGGAAACACAGAAGAAGGGAACGTGGGGGCGCAGTGGTTGATGTTGCATGCGGTCGGAGGCCGATTCTCTCGGAGGTCAATGCCGGAAATGCACTTCATTACAAGGACAATTATGGACACAGCCTCATTCACGCGCCAGACTTCATCTACTCCATTCACTTCATTCGCTTCGCTACTGGTCAGTTCACTGATTTGACCAGTAGCGAAGTGAATGAAGCGGATCAAGTGGATGAAGTATGGCGTGGCCATATGTGCCTCAAATGTGTATCGCTGAAATCCCTCTTTTTAGTCAAGGAACTCCAAGACATGTGGAAGTTCCTACGGTCGAAATTCTTTAGAGTAACCAGTGAGCTAACGAGAGGCTCTTCAGCGAAGACCGTAGAATTCATGAAAAATATGACGTTTCTCGAAAATATAGCAATCCTTACCGAAAGGTGAGCTCTGTTCAGAAATGGAAGTTCGTATAATATGCAAGCCTTTTTAGCAGATATACAAATTTCGACCGCGAGCTCAACATGGACTCGGCAGATTGCCAGCCATCGAGTAGGTGTATAATTCGCGCAAAATTTCACAATAGAAAAGTAAGATTTTAGCGTCGAAGGTCCCATCACTCCGGGTGCTAGGCGATTTGAGCAACAGTATTTCTTCACTCTCTTCCCAAAGGCGAAAAAGAAAGTTGCCAGATGACGGTACGTGTTTTGGTACATGTCACAAGGTAGTTGGTGCAATGTTTTTCCCCTAAGCCATTGCTTTTCCAGAGAGGAGCGCCGTTCGAGTAGCGGCGGATGCAGTGATGACGAAACTAGATAGCACACATGTTGAAGACAGATATACCCACATCGGTTGGTCTCCTCTTCTTGTCTACTAAAGTGCGGTTCATAATTATACGAACATCAAAAATTTTGTAAGTTTTTGGACTTTTTGAGAGAAACTCAAAAAGCCGTTGGTACCACGCGATAGAACACAGCCGAAAACGGTATGTGATCCATAAGATTGGAAATCGATGTCAAATGTAGGAGTGTTTTGCGGCTAATGCGAATTTTTAGCGGTTCATAATTATACGAACACCTCAAGCAAAGGTCCATTTTTTATTCAAGATTGCAATCGTTTGAGTCCAAATTTTTTTGGAGAGTTACAGTAACGAAGTCTGACATATCTACTATATACTAAACCCAGTGCAGTTCAAAAAGAGGATCGTTACTTTTTTCAAAGGGGGCTAAATGCTTTCGGAGTGATTGGGCTCCAGAAACATCCGTTCTTCTGTGGTTTACGCGCTCTAATTAGCTTCTACAAAAGCTTTGAGATGAGATAAGCTCTTGCGATAGGTATTTTATTTGACGCTTTGAAAATCTTTGCGTTTCCGTGCGTTTTTCAACCAAGTTCCAACCTTACCACAGAGTTACCACGATTTCGAGCCTCAAAACTCAGCTTCTGAAGCTGTAAATGAAGTAAGCATATAGTATGTAGAAGTTTACAAGACTTTATATTTGCCTAGAAAAAATTAGCAGCGTTGAGCGTTTGTTTTGGTCACGCAGAAGTTATTTCACGAGAGATACTATTTTTACTATTGCAATCTCACCTTTATTTGGTTTGTAGCTCCACACCCGCAAGATCAGTTCTAGAAATAACCCAAAAACTTTGGTACAGAAATATCATCAAAGCAATGCAGCTGCTTCATATCAAATGTTTGCGCAAGAGAGAAGCTGAGTTTTAAGGCTCGAAATCGTGGTAACTCTGTGGTAAGGATGGAATTTGGTTGAAAAACGGCACGAAAACGCAAAGATTTTCCAAGCGTCAAACGAAATACCTATTGAAAGAGCTTATTTTATCTCATAGCTTTGGTAAAAGCTAATTAGAGCGCGTAAACCACAGATGAACGGATGTTTCTATAGCCCAATCACTCCGAAAGCATTTAGAGCCTTCTGAAAAAAGAAACGGTCCTCGTTTTGAACTGCACTGGGTTCAGTGTGTAGCAGATATGTCAGACTATGTCACTGTAACTCTTCAAAAAATTTGGACTCAAACGATTGCACTCTTGAATGAAAAATGGACCTTTGTTTGAGGTGTTCGTATAATTATGAACCGCTGAAAATTTGCATTAAGCGCAAAAACACTCCTAAAATTGATATCGATTTTCATTCTTATGAATCATATACCGTTTTCGGCTGTGTTCTATCGCGTGGTATCAACGGCTTTTTGAGTTTCTCCCAAAAAGTCCGAAAACTTACAAATTTTTGGGTGTTCGTATAATTATGAACCGCACTTTATATCAGTGGCTGTATTTAGGTAGATACGTGGAACCGTCATTGCGTCGCCTTTCCGATGAAGAAGCAGACCTTAAGGTCTTACACATAATGGCCATATTTGCGAACGTCAACATAAGCGAAAATCTCGACCACTGCTATAGTGCAGCGTCAGCTTACCAGCATTCAAATCGTTAGTTGTTCCACACTTTGTATTCTTTACTTGACATAACATTCCACTCGATGATGTTCATTTTCAACACTATTTGCATTTTACTCACATTGTTGATAGAAGACTTAGTTTTTTTCTTGCTTTTTACCTCAGTTATTTAGTTTTTTTTCCTGCTTTTTACCTCAGTTATTTGGTTTTTTTCTGCTTTTTACCTCAGTTATTGAAACGAGTGAAGTTTTTGTACGCGCTATTTTTGTTCATTTGGAGATACCTTTTCTTTGAAGTTGGATAGCGTTTGATGATGTAATAAATACGAAGTGCGTGTTTTTTTGTCATTATTGCAGTTTTTATTGAGCTTGTGTGAAGCAGTTTTACTGTAAGTCGCATGCGCAAACCGCCTCCAAACGTTTGAATGATTTAACCTTTCCATAAAAGCATAGATCAGCCGATAGCCCCTCGACAACCTATTGATTTATCCAATTTTTGCATTCATTTGGCTTCAACAAATTTGCTCCCTAAAGTCTCCTCTTTTCAATTGTGATGAATGCTGTTTGCGCTGTATGTCCTAAGATTTATAAGGTAAGGATACCAACCTAGATTCGCCTTTTGAGATGAAAGACACATATTTGGAGTCAGCTTTGAACGCTGATTCCAAATATGTTGTTCCTAGCTGCTTAGCTTTATTCCGGAGCGAGTTATGGGCTTGCTGCTGTGAGTAATGAATAAACTTCTGAATGTCGTAAGACGGCGTGTACATAAAAATTTACTCGAAAAAAGTGCTAGGATGTTAAGCTAGGATCAGATTAATTTTTTCGATCTTGAAAGGGAGCATTATACAATTGCAAATCCACCTAGACTTCTACACCAGCATCATTAGGTCGAGAAGCACGCAAACTTTGCATAGAAAAGTGACCATAACTATATCGCTAAGCAGCTAGGAACGGCATATCCGAAATCACCGTTCCAAACTGATTTCAAATATATGTGCCCCATCTCAGAAAGCGAATCTAAGTTAGTATCCTTCCCTTGTTAGGAATGCATCTGTAGCCCAGATACCAAGGCCCGTATGCACGTACATCCCCGCGGGGAGGGGATGTGAGTTTAACCATTGCAATGATCCCCGCTGGGGCTCCCCTCCCTTCCCCACGCGAACCCCCGTATGCAGAAAGACAATACCGAAGAGGGGATCCCCTGGGAGTAGGCGAGGGGAGCCCCCTTAAGCAGAAGGGGAGTTCGAGCGGGGAATTCATTTTGCTTCCGCTTTTTTTGCAGTAATTATTCCTTTTTTCTTATCTTTTGATAGCTACTCGCCTTCAATGTGTCTCGGCGATATTTAGTCGTTGCGGAATGCCGTCTGCCGTGATTGCTATCGGCACACTAAAGAAATATTTCCTCCATCCATTATATTCCAGCTGTTTTCATGGAAGCTGATCATTTTCGCCCATGCTGCCCATTTCAGCTTAAAGGTGTTCAATGATAGAAGTCAAGGTGCATGTATATGCAGTGAATGGGTAGAAGACGTTATGCTGCCGAAAAAAAAGGGGGGGTGCCGCGGACATTCAAACCAGCATTTCTACACATAATTGAAGCTGCGAATCGTGCCAGCTCTCCATAAACGCTGTAGCTGCAGCTATCAGCTGCATATCGTCCTTTACCCCAGGGGAATGATCCCCAGCGGCCATCCCTGCTATGCACGAGGGGAGCGATGGGGAGGGGATCATTCCCCCGAGGATCTTTACTTAGAATCACGCGAGTCTGCTAATTTTCATTTTATTCAAAGCAGTTTTACGTTAGGATAGCAAGATAAGAACAATTTATCATTTGATATGATAGTTATAAGCTCCTGCAAGACGAAGGCGGTTGGTTCGATGCGTGACGTGGTTGTGACGCGGCTGTGACGCGGCTGTGACGCAGCTGTGTCGCAGCCGCGTTGCACATCGAACCGACCGCCTTCGTCTTGCAGGAGCTTATACAATATGTTGTATAGTCGTCCTCACCCCACTAGTCGGTCGGTGGCCGAATTCGAATTGAACTGGAGCAGGCAGGTCGCGGCAGAGCACGGCACCTTAGCTCTCCGTTCATCACGCATTCACTTTGCGTATTTCTACGCCATTGCTTAGCAGTTTTTGTATTGCAACGTTTTTGATCTATATTGATTTTGTTATTGCTGAGTGTTGTCTTCTGCCGCGCTCTTCCGTGACAGGATTGCTCCAATTCAAATTTGAATTCGTCCACCGACCGACTAGTGGGGTTAGGACGACTATACCAGCCTTAATGGATAAAACTATCAGGTCAAATAAAACATGCGCAACTCTCGTGAATGGTCACAACCTTCTACAGATATTCGAAACTGGCAGATATATGTCCGGATTTCTTTACAAGAAGCGAATATGGAAGAGAGAGAGTTAAAACTGCAAGCTACAGGTCGCTGAGAGAGGAACCCGGCTCCCGTAGAAAATCTTTCATCAATTTGAACGAAATGCTTTGTAATAATTGATTGTAATCAGAATACTCGCTTCTCTGGCTTGACCTACACCATCGAACCCCTACTCCGTTGTAGCAGATGTCGATCCCCTCCCCCATTCGAACCCCGTATGCACTGAGGTTCGCTCGATTAATACCTCTGTAACCATTCACACCATCCCCGCTTAGGTGCAGGGGAGGGGATCGTTCCCCTTCCCTCTGTCATGGCGGGGCTCGGCGGAGGGGATCGTTCCCCTGGGGATCCAGCTCCCCTCCCCTCCCCAGCGGGGACGTACGTGCATACGGGCCCAAAAGGTAACGAGTTACTTGGGAAGCTGATTCACGTTTATTCGGAAGACAAAATAGCGTAGTGATAGTGTGCGAAAACAATAGTTACTTTCCGTATGATGATCATTCGCGTGCGGGGCCATATACCTGCGTATAGTACAAAGTAATTTTTTCTCCAACCGTTTTAGCTGCAGCAGCACCCCCGGTCATAGTTCGTTCAACTGAATGTAGTGTGCTCTCGTCTGGCGCAAATCGTCGAACACCTTGCAAAAAGTCTTGTTTTCTTGGCAAAAGGTTGTGCAATACCTATAACACATAACTAGAATACACGTAGTATGTGCAAGGATTGAGCTAACCGGCAGCGCCTTGATTATGCGTCCTGCTCTGGACGGATTCACTTGCATTGGATGCATCAAAATTTGAAACCTTCGAGTTAATATACCGAATGTCGACTCGATCATTCGTCGTGCGCTGAAAGCCTTGAAATAAGAGGATGGTGTATTAGGCATACCAACCTGCTATGCTTTTCATTGAACCGCCTTTTCTCCGGGGTATCGGCTTTGGCATCTCTGTAAGGACGCACAAATCGCAGACCTTGTCCGAATCCTCCGTCAACGAGGACATGGTACTGGACCGGTCCCACTTGTCCAAGATCCTTCGTGGGCGGAAACACTTGATCACTGGCGTCCAAAAACTGCTGAAGCACCATTTTCAAGTACTACATTTGTCATAACATTGCTTCGACCACCTTTATCCATGAACTTCGGTAGACGGCTGCGTCTCCTGCTCGACCAGCGGAACCCACATCGTAAAGTAGCACGCGGTAATCATGGTCACAAACGGCGAGTAAAACGATTGAATAAAAGTTTTTATAGTTTCAGTATGCACTTCCAGAGTGCTCGTGCTCCGGTTTCTTAAATTCATTGATGCTCAAAACGGTTCATCCCCTTGATCAGTCATCTCAATCCTAATGTGTTTTCCGTCCATGAAACCGCAGGCCCTTGGGTAATCCAAACGGGCCTGCGTGACGCGCGCTACTTCTTCAAGTTTTTCTCTGGTCACGGTAGGGAATGCAATGTCATGTTGTTCTATAAAATGAAAATTCCCCGTGCACCTTTATAGAATGTTGGCATTATCTGTTCTCAAAGAATTTTTACCGCTTATAATAGCCTCTGTAACTTCGGCCACGATTACTGAAATTGCCTTGGATGGACCCGGCATGCGTTCGCGAATGCATGAGCTTCGCTGCTATGCATTGATACAGATCTTCGAATTCGTTTGGGAGTACCCTTGCGAACTGCATGAATGCGGCAGGCCTTTGCGCGGCAAGATATTCGTCATAAAGACGAAATCGAGTTTCGAGAAACGGTGGGTGTTCTCTGCGCACGTATTCGCCCCGATAGTATGGTCTCTGCACCGCATTTGTAATGGCATCGTCGAGCTCGACAAGTGCAACGAGAACGTCACGCCACTCTTGATAGCTCATTCCCTGCAAAGGCAGGTCTCATCGCAGAACATCACTGACACTTAGTGAAATTTATAGGACACGACAAGAGGCACCCTAAATGCTGTTTAGTTGAAGCTTTGAGATAGTAACAAGTATTGAAAGGCGATAGCTTCACAATTATCAAAGAATTTTTTTATTATTCTCACCTAAAAAGCTTTCCAGAAAGATTTTGGAGATGCTCTGTAAGGCCCCCGACAGACTTCACGCGATTTGATGGTCGCGACTGAATCGCGACGAGACAACTGTTACAACATCATTCCATGCCGATCGACTCGCATTTCGGTTATGATACTATTCCAGCCAGCCCGAAATTTTTGAATGTGAAATGAAAATGAATGGAAATGTCGGCTATTGAGTCGTGACGATAAAATCGCGTGAAGTCTGTCCCGGGCCTAAAGTGTACTTCTAAGCTGCTGCGACCATTATGTATCCTTCCCTCATTCAGGCATGCGGAACATGGCGCAACAACTAATAGCCACTACAAATGCACTGCGCCTTATGTGGCGTCTAGAAAATCGCGTATCTCTCAATCTTTGCCTCCGTACGGCATTAAATTTTGGTAAAACCGAGAAAACTACCTGGAGGCCTGCTTTTTAATGTGGACCTTCTAAGCGCGAAGATGTGCATTTGAAAGTGCTGAGTTCAAAACTGTGCTTTGCAACTCTAGAGAACGTTAAAAACTAGCATGACACAGAGAACTGGCGGAATGGTCGCGCGCTCTGACAACTATTGGCTGCCAAAGTTTGAGTGAAGACACCACATAATTTTGGCGAGACACTGCCTCCAAGTAGCTTGTAAATGACGACATCTCCTTGCGCGAATTAATATAGCGTTAAAAGAACATACTCACTGGGAGCACTTCCAACACCGCGCTTGGCTGGAAGAATGTTACAATGAGACAACATGACTTTGTTCACAGATTTAGTACTATGTATTGATAACTGACAGCATTTCATTTTTAGCCAATAATATCAATCACAGGCAAAGAATTAACATGCAAATGCGGCGTAGAAAAGGCTACTGTCCCAGTAACTTTCACACTGCTCATTTCGCTTGAAAAAAGAAAGCTTCAGCATCGAATGCCAAAAGATAGGTAACGCTAAGAAGATATGCGCAGTGACATCGTATTCAGGAGAGTACCACGAACAATGTGATGAGTTTACATGTAAGAAAAGAATTTCTTCGTGCGGCTGCAGAGATGTTCAGCGCAGCAGCGATGTAACGATATGAAAACAAGATAAGACTCGGCAGCAGGGAAAAATCTTAAACATTAGCGTAATGCAAGTGATAGTTAGAAGACAGAACAGTATGCAGCTGTACTAAGCACCCAAATTATGGTGCTTTAGTCGTTTCATGTTGCTGATATGACTTGACGCTAGTGTCCCCAATCATCATTACACAATCATTTATTTCGCAAAGATTTCACAACAAGTTCACGATTATTTCACAGCCGCCCAACATACTGCCTTCCTCGTAGTATTAAGATTCGCACTGCATCGATGACCATGTCCTGCAGATCAGGTCACATCAATAACGTATACAAAAATGACACCATGCATGGGTGCTTACCTTTAGTAACAGTACATTTGTTGAAGCTGAAGAAAGATGATAATCATCTACCAAGAGACTAAGAGACAATTTGACACATCTAAAATGGATGTTTTCCAAATGTAAGCATAGCGTGAGTGCGAAAAACTCACAGTGTGTCTCCTCCAGGTAGTACGCGCATCGTTTTCAGACGAAAACTTCATGAGAAAATCATAAATCGAGGATAACAGCAATCTGAACAAAAAGGAAGAAAAATCTGGTAAACTTAGGACTGCAAGTAAGAGTTTGGAGAGTCCAAACAGCGATATATAGCGAAGAACACTCGATTACCTGACAAATATTCCGAATGCGCGCAGTAACCAATGAGAAAGATGAAGAACCACCACACAGGCTACTGAGGCCTAATGGGAAAACACAGACCATGCAATACCGGTAATGAACATCTAGTCCGGACTTTGGTGGTGCAGAACCAACCTGAAACAATGATTACCTCACAATTTTAGAAATGAAAACATACTCTCTACAGACGGAAAAATATTATGTTGTAAAAGTTGCATGATAAAACATGCGCCACGAAGATTTGATACAAACACTTAGTAGTAGCAAAATACGCACGTAAACACGAAGTTACATAGCGATGGAAGCCACTTACACATGAACAAGTTGGGAAAAAGCTCGTGTTCTGTGAGAATCTATCGCTGGCCGCAGGTGGAATTTCGGCGTACGCGGCGCCAAATGACAGACTGCTGTGTGCGCGTGTTTTGCACGCGTCCTGCAAGAAGCGGAGCAAGCGGAGCAAGCGGATCAAGCGGATCAAGCGATTAAGCGGATCAAGCGGATCAAGAGGGGTAAGTATGGCGGGTGCCTTTGGAAAAGCTTTGATAGCAATCAAATAGAGTGAACAAAGTGCAATCTAATGCAATTTATTGGCATCTATAGCTAGCCTTAAAAATTCTTTAGAATCATTTTTCTGATGCTACCAAATTCCCCTTTTGGTGATGCCAAGAACAATAGAACATAAAACGGCGCACATCTAAGGTGTCATTCGATGCAGCTTTTCCTCCTCTTTCTACTGAGTAATTTTCTTCTCGATTTGTGGGGGTTTTGGCGATAAAATTTGCTAATTCTTGATTTTGGACTCGCCAAAGGGTGTACACGTGAAATGCGAAATCTTACATTTCGAAGCGGCAAACACTCAGTCACTTTATAAAAATAGTCGGAAATCATAAACGACATTCGAAAGTGTCGAAATCAGAGAAATGTTAATGTTCGGAGCGTTTGTGTGTTTTTTGACTTTGAAAAAGTGAAGACTTTTGAAAAAGTAGTCCAAAAAATAATGAGAAGCCAGTTGAAATTGCCAAAAAAAATTTATTGAATTGCACTTTGTTTGCTCTATCTGAGGTGCTATCAAAGCTCTTCCAAAAGTCAAAGAAAAAGATTGTGAAAATTCGCCAAAGTTGGACATGGTAAAAACCATTAGTTCGAAATTTGTCCATTATCTCATTGAACACAAGAGCAAACGGCACATGAGAATGACCTTCAAAACGAGGAAGAAAAGATGCGTTGGACAGTGCTTAACGCGTTTCCCTACCTTCATTCCACGTGTTTTTATGATAGGTTGAAATAACGGAAAGAAGAACTTTCGGAATGACCTAATATTAATTTGTCTATTTATTAGTTTCAGTCCATTTTACTTTGATTTATAATTTCTTATTTTCAATTTTTTCAATTTCTTTCTTTTATTATTTATTTTATTTTTATTTTATTTTATTTTATTTATTTTTTATTTTTTCTTATTTATTTATTTTTTTAAATATATTTTTTATAATGTTTATCTTATATATAAAGCTGAATGTCTGTTTGTCTGTATGTATGTCTGTCTGTCTGTCTGTATGTATGTATGTCTGTGTGTACGTATGTTCCGAATAGAAAATTCCATTTCTGAACCGATCCGGACCAAACTTGGCACACATACATTTCGGGCCCCGGCGGGTGTCATAGGCTACTTTTCGTCATCGATCGATATCGATTTTATCGATTTTTATCGATTTTTTTGCTGAGTTCACCTACGGGGCTGGGAGTTGGCACAGGGGGGGTAATCGAGCATGGGGATTCCGAATACAATATTGGTTTTCAGGATTATCGATTACTTTTATCGATTTTATCGATTTTTTTGCAAAGTTTGAGCTACGGGGCTGGGAGTTCGCACAGGGGGGTAATCGAGCATGGGGATTCCGAATACAATATTGGTTTTCAGGATTATCGATTACTTTTATCGATTTTATCGATTTTTTTGCAAAGTTTGAGCTAGGGGGCTGGGAGTTGGCACAGGGGGGTAATCGAGCATGCTGATCATCCCCAAGGGGGGTGATCAGCATGCTCGAACACCCCTGTGCCAAATTCCAGCCCCCTAGCTCAAATTTTCAAAAAATCGATAAAATCGATAAAAGTAATGGACGATCTTGAAAACTAATATTGTATTCGTAATCTGCATGCTCGATTACCCTCTGTGCAAACTCCCAGCCCCGCAGGTCAAACTTTGCAAAAAAATCGATAAAATCGATGAAAGTAATGGACGATCCTGAAAACTAATATTGTATTCGGAATCCCCATGCTCACTTCCCCCCTGTGCCAACTCCTAGCCCTGTAGGTGAACTCTGCCAAAAAATCGATAAAATCAATAAAAGCAATCGATAATTCTGAAAACTAATATTGTATTCGGAATCCCCATGCTCACTTCCCCCCTGTGCCAACTCCTAGCCCTGTAGGTGAACTCTGCCAAAAAATCGATAAAAATCGGTAAAATCGACATCGATCGATAACGAAAAGTGGACTGTGACACCCGCCGGGGCCCGAAGTGTATGTGTGCCAAGTTTGGTCCGGATACGGCGGAGCCGGGTAAGCCAGCTAGTATATATATATATTAGGTTGTCCCGAAAAACAGTAATCGACATGTGGGCTACAGTTAGAGAGGAAGAGATGCGTCGGGTAGTGCTTAGAGCGTTTCCCTATCTTTGTTCCACATATTTTTATGATAGGTTGAAAAAACGGACAAAACTTTCAAAATTGTTTCTTCGGAAACTTCAAATGGTGCAAGGTTTTGGAAACATGCACAGTGATAGGTACAGAGCTGTTCTACGTATGCACTTGAGGATGCCAGATTTTCCGAATCAAAAATTTCCAATGTGAACTTGCACGGTTGTTTGCTGTACTTTGAAACGTAAAAAAATTTTGGGCGTAAGGTATTGCAGAACTTTTCTTACGAAGAGAGTGTAGACTTTGGACTTTTGGAGCAAAAAACGGAAAGTTGCCGTTTCCTCGCGTTAAAAGTTGAACATATCCAACAACGGCATTTCTTTTTTTCATAAGACTGGAAGAGTGGTTACGCCTAATATTTTTAGTAATTTTTGAGCAAAGCATTTTTTCTTCATTGATTCAGTTTTCTCTAGGCTCTGTATACACGGCAAAAAGGGAACTATATACCAAAGTTGAATTACTTTGAGCAAGAAACTTCCGAACACCATGTACTAATTGTAAGCTTTGTTCAAACATCGTAACATTTATATACGTAGTGGAAGAAATAATCGCAAAGATCCATATTTTGCACCTTTAGAAGGTTCTCATCTTCTTTAAAATCCCATAGTTTCTCGGTTGACCTATTACTTGGAATGTCATGGGTAGATCTAAAAAATATTGACATCTTGCTCGGTTACGAAATAATCAAGTGTCAGTCATTTCCTTTGAAGAACGAAACTAGTGAATAAAAATGAATACTTATTTGGCTGGAACAATGTTGCGGCGCAGCTGAGTTGAAAAGTCCTCTTCGGTCATTATACAGCTGCACAAGCCGTAATATTTACGGTTTGTCATTCGTGTGTAGCCTATGTCTCCGAGAAATTTTTATTTAATTGAAACAGCTATCCACACAACGGTACTAAGTGCAGTATTTCTGTTTAGTTGCATAAACAGACAGAAAGACTTTAACTAAAGCTCGTATGCACATACTCCACGGGGAGGGGGGGGGGGGAGGGAGGAGGATTTGAGAGCGGACTCGTCGTACCTCGCTCTCTTCTTTCTCTATGTGGCTTATGGAGGTTCTCAAGCCCTGATATCCGCGCATAATGGATGGCAGGTTACTGTCATACGAGATAAGACTTTCACTATCTGATCCCCTTGAGAGGATCACTTCTCATTTTTAGATTCCTTTATTTTCTTGGAAACTCAATAAAAACGCTGTAAAATTGTGCTGAGGATATACTACTGATCTGCTAAGCATGCGACAGGGGAAATGGAATCTAAAGACTGTGAATTTTCTTGATAATCCTTAGCTTCCGAACACTGTGAAGAATTGTTCGAAGCTCGTGTTCATGAATCTTATATACCGAATTTTATTAGATAGTTTTTTAAGAAACTGTCACAACGGTAATTATCTTTATTTTCATTTTTATTTTTAAGTTTAATACAGATAAGATCATGATCTTGAAAAGAGTTGATGTAGACCACACCGCCAATCTTGCATTACCACTGCGTATGCAGTCAATTGAGAGTCTCAAGCACAGTCAAGTCTCAAGCACTTTTTTGAGCTAAAGACGGCGTTCCATTTTTGAACGAATTGGTAGTTTATATAAGAGTACAGACATGAAGTCTACTTGTCGATGATGAAGGGGGAAAGGCTCCTTTTATGACCCAAACAAAGTATGGTTAAGCTGATATCGACCCAGTAATTGTCACATTATGCTCTAGAGATGCTAATTCTTATCACTGTAGCTGACATAAGCCGTGAAATGCTTACAGAGAAATCAATTGAAGGTTGTCGTCCTAAGTTTTAGGCCTCCCTCTATTTCAAATTTCGAAGGCTACAAAATGATGTGTTTGCATGCGAAGTTTATTGCAGAAGTAGAGAAGTAGAAAAAGCTGCCAATAAATCAACATTTATTCACAACCCCTGCATTAGTAGTAGTAGATTCCCTGACATTCAGTAGTACACCGCCAAAGATCAAAGCCGTGCATCGTGTTACAATCCTTAGAGCACTGTAAAGCTAGAGGTTTTTCGATTCAAATTTGAATAATATAGATAAGAAGCCAACCACTTGATCAGTCGTATCTCCAAATACAGAAACTCCAAAACTTGTGACCTTTGAATTCTGTAAGCAAATAAGCAACTTTAAGACCAAACTGGTTGGAAAAATCTAACCAAAGCCGAAGATGACACTTTTGACTTGGAGACAGAAGAGCTGCTAGTCTATAAAACACTCACATATTGAGGATATACATATACATATATATCCTACAAGCCCAAATATCTTAAAACTAACCGCAGATGAGGTTAAACTGCCGCTAGGTTTAGAAGAGGAGCTAGATTTTTCCTTACAAAGGTGGAAATAGTAATTCAGAAAATAGTGTTTATAATCCATTTTCGGTTAGTTTTTTTCCAAGGGTCAAACTTGATCAAGTTTGTTGACCCTTGGAAAAAAACTGGATTATAAACAAAAAAATGAAAAAAACAAAAATGGACTATAAACACTATTTTCAGAATTACTATTTCCACCTTTGTAAGGATAATTCTTTATTGATGAAAAACTAACCGAAGGTGACGTGTATTTATTAATATTTCCAACATTTGAAGAGGAGCTAGTCTGTAAATGATCAGATAATCAAGTGCAAGCTAAAAAAATTAGATAATAACAAACTGATTTCGCTTGATTGCTGGCTTGTTTAGCTGCTTCAGTATTCTGTAAAACGATTAGAATAACTACAGCAATAACTGCGATTAACTTACTTTTTGATCCGTGGAAGAGAGTTGATTTTTAAGTCCACCAAGTCCATCATTAGAACTCTGGAGTAAAAACCTTTATAGAGATCTAGCTTAATTAAGTTAGAAAAAAGTCTCAGCGTAGTTGAATATAGATTGTTTGATTTATATTTGTCAACAACTGTAATTCACATAACTTTATAAGCAAAAGTCAAAAAAGGAACTGACCGGAGACGGTTTTGAGATTAAAGAGCTCTCATAACGACTCTGTAAAGCGATTAAATAATAACATTAGGAGTAAGCTAGACTGGTACGGGAAATGATCTGACCTTTATTGGGGAATCAAAACCAACTTTGGAACTCTGGAAAACAATTAGATACTATGAAATTTAAAGTGGATTGATGTATTATTCAAAGGAACTTAACCGATGAGCCTGGATAAAATCTGGAGGTTACTGCTACAGAAGATCTTCCTCCAGATGATCCATAACTTGCTCCTAAGAAACGTGACCCATATGATCCATATACAGAAGCATCCATAGCAGCAAGCACTACTACGATGTGCAGTAGATCAGACAGGCAAATGTGCATCGTTTACTAAATCGAGTAGATCATTTGACATTTTGAAGGACAAGTCAAATAACACTGCAGTTATCTAACAGATACTCTTTTTAACGCTTTTCATGCAAGTGGTTGCTTTCAAATAGCTTTTTACTCCTTCTTCTGTTGATAATCATGCTTGTCTTTTTAGATTCAACCACAAAGTAGTCAAGAACGAGATTATCGTTTTGTTGCCGCACTTCTTAACATCATACGAACAAGCTGCGATGGATAAGTGCAAAACGTGGTACTATTAGGTTGGCTAATAAATAAGTTCGGTAGCTTTTTCAGCTCTTACAAATGCTGTAGACAAATTTTTGTCCAATGTTTGGTATCTCTGAAAAGAGCACTTCACTGGGTATTGGAGCATATATTCTGTTTGAATAAAACTTATCTTCCCAGAAAAAAAACCGCAAAGAAGTGAAAAATCGCAATTTTCCCATAATGCGCAAATATGAGGAAATTTGGTTTTCTCAGTGAAACATTTTCAAAGTGGCAGATCACGGTTCTTTTTGTTGTTCACTAAATATTGATAACTCCTCTGTATTCAAACACCAAACTGCTGCTCTTTACATCCATTACAGCATGAAAACGAAGCTCAAGAAGTCAAAGAATTGAGCTTTTGGAAATTTCGCCATGTTGAGGCATAACTGTCTTTATTGACAATAAAAAACCTGATTATTTTATATGTGATAGAGGAAGCTTCGATTTACGCTCCCACAAAGAATCATAGATGGAAAACAACAAGAAAATTTTTTATGACAATTTATATGCCAAAACGAACTTACTTTTCAGCCAACCTAATAATTGTAAGGAGCATCATTACTTGGCCTTATTATAAAGCTGAATGGACGCACTGGCGTTGCGAAAGTTTCGGATTCTACGTTTCAGCTTCCATGCAGAACAGCATGAAAGTCAAAACAATTCCTTTTTCCATATTTTGCGTTTGATCTTTTATCCGTCAGCTCACAAATTGAAATTGAGCATTTTCCGCTATCTTCCGTTCAATACTGTAAGTTGAAGTTTTTTGAAAGCACATCCGGAAAATTTTGAGATGTTCATAAATAGATGCGACTGGAAAGCTGCCATAGAATTTATTATCTGAAGCTGTTAGACAATAAACATGCCGATGTGGACTTACCTCGTTTTCGGGAGTGGCTTATGACTTGTATACTCAAGAGTATTTGATGGCAGCGTCCAGGCAAATCTGGACATATGGCGCTCTCACGTGGGTCGTAATTTTGGGGCCCTAACTAAGCCACTGCCCAAGCGGGCACAGTTAGTGCTCTAGCGGCTGAGACCGTCGAGGCGAAAATCTCAGCAGCTGAGATATTTCTCGAAGGTCCTTTTTTGAGGCGAATATCTCAGGGTTAGAGCACTACCTGAGCCCGCTTGAGCAGCGGCTTAGTTGGGGCCCCAAAATTACTATCCACGTGAGAGCCCCAAAGTCCGCTGTTTTCAATCAATATAGTAACAATCTAACTATGAAAACCATTGAGGGGCTGTTGCTTCAGCTGGTGAAACCTTAAATCCCATAAACAAGCGCTCAAAACTTTTTACGGACAATAGTTTCGCAGTTTCTGAGAGCAGGTTTGCATTTAGCGCATCTCTTAAACAACTTTTGAGATCGCCCGTTACTGTGACCATACCCATCCCATAGTGTACGATATGATGAAAAAATTTGGGTAGAGGACTATATTCGCCGAAAAAGGGCGGTCCCCGCGGTCATTTGCGACAAATACGCACCCTTGTACATGCGCGGCCATGCGTTCCTGCAGGGAATCCGCGCGGGACTCATCCAAATTCGGCGACATATAGTCCTCCACCCAAAAAATTTGTAGGCCTTTTTTTTATAACCACTTGTGGGAGTCTCGCACTCCGATTCACCTTGATAGTGAGTAAACGAGTGAAACTAAACTTACTTTGTATTAAGCGAATGAAAAGTCTGTAAGAATAGAGATGAAACGAATCGCTCTCTTTATATATTTACTGTGTTTTCATAGAGAACGGTAAACAGATTTTAAATGGTACTCATTCGTTGATCAAACAGTAGATGTTAACATGACCAACAGCTGAACATATTGGTGTCTGCACTTTTGAAAACATTCTTTTACTCCGTTTGAGCAAATTTTTATAAACTTTCAACAATTACTTAGTAACGCCTACGTAAAAACACCAATCGTTTATTCGAGTAAGACTAACTGTGCCTCTTTTTCTTAGGACGTCTTGCTATATTTTGTTTTCCTCTGGGAAACCTATGTATTTTTTCCCTTGCAATAGGTCAAGAAGACAAAAAATTTTTATGCTTTTGTCAAAGAGCTGGGCTGTTTTCAAAAGTACTACCGACTGGGTAAAACCGCAATTTTTTCAGCCTTTTACGTGAGCTTATTTTCGAGAAATACCACATTTAACTTTTTTCCAGATTCTCATAAGAATGTTCAGTGAGGAGGAGGGAGGGTAGCGGAGAGGGGTGGCGGAGAATGCGTTTTCCATTCTTTTAGTGAAACTTGTTTGGCTCAAGTCTCCCATTCCAAAACACTTCATGAAAATGTTCTTGAGTAACTATTGCTGTGGGAACACGGTCGAATAATAACTACGAAGTACCGGTCAGACTTCTGCCAAAAGCGCCCAAAGCGCCAAATGCACCCTAAAGCGTCAATTTTTCAAAAATCTCTCTTCATTTCTCATTCTACTCAATCACATTCAGCGCATCTAAAAGTGCCAACGGTAGCGCGGAACATATTGCGAGGAGGATGAGAAATGTGAAGATAGATCAAAGAAATTTGGTCGCTTCTGATCGAGGTGTGGCCGATAGCTTGCGAGAATCGAAAGTGCTTTACAAGAGTTACAAATTTATGCAAGAGACTGCTTTTCGTTTAGTATTTGAGTTTATCAGATAAATTTTTTCGAAGGTAATTTTTTACGAAGGCATGACTTTCTTCAACTAGATCAGCTTTGCAGAAAAAGATTGTCTCGCCTACTTTTACAAAATTTCTATCACAGAGCAGCAGAAATTTGAAAAGCGATCATGAAAAAACAGTTTCTAGTATTCTAGGTTTTTACATAAATCAAGAAGGTATACTTTATGCTTACCTCGTCCACTAGCACCTTATCACCGATAAATAGATTTTGGTGCTGGGAAAATTTTATTGATTTTGGCAAACTCAACGAAGGCGTTCATAAAATCATCAGCGTTGAGCCCTCCATCGTGGGCTAGGTATACATCGTTTCTGAAAAACATCGGCCAAAGACATGAAATCCGTGTGAGTGACAACCAGAAAACCAACATTTTTACATGCGCATGTATTTTCCAACCAAACCAGTACGTGTTATTTGCAATGGAGCATGAAAATAATTTGAAATCACTTGGATAGAGATTTCCTTGCTTGAATTTGATTGGGTGTTGAATAATAAGGAATTTGTAGTGATTAGCGAATAAATGCTTTAGCCGTCATAGTTCATCGAACTCACTATGATGCGTCAGAAGAAGCATAGCAATATTTTTAGCTGAAAGTAGGTGATGAGAGAGTGATATTTGTACTGTGGACAAATCGGGAATTATGTACGGAATTACTACAAAAGCATTATAAAACGCAATGACAATGCTTTTGACTTTGCCAATGGATTTTCAAAACTTGATACCAAGATCAAGTTTTGAAAATCCACTGGCCTGGCCAAAAGCATTCATAACGTGGTAAAAGTAATGAAACGAAGTGGGATAAGCCTAAGCTATCCTCAACGAAAAGCATGCTTCTACACGCGTCTCTTGCAAAACTTGCTGCTGTCTAGGTTACCAGACAACGCTTATCTATGACCAAATCGTCTTTTCGTTGAACGCGATGGTCTTTGTTCCAGAGGGGTCCAATAAGCACGAGTACCGAACGAAATCAAAATCAAAATTATCTCGAAATCTGTACAATAAAGTCAAAATTCTTACATTCATGTCAGATGAGTCTAGAGCTCTTCTTTTTCAAACGCCTTTTTTTCATTTTGCTGAGGCTGAGGACTGTCTGGTAAATATGTTTTTTCTTTCGTTTCTTTCTTTCCAGATGCAGCTTGAGTAGTCAGTAGTGTTTGCATAGTATAAATGGAAATAAAACTCACCAGAGTTGTACGCTTTAGGTCAGGACATCTTCTTATATTTTTCGTCTTTCTCTGAGAAATGCATGCATATTTTCTTGGCTATAAGTCAAAAAGACAAAAACTGCTATGCTTTTGTCAAAGAGGTGCTGGGCTGTTCTCGCATACAAATTCTATCTTATAATGCTGGATGTCTGTTTGTTTGTTTGTGTATGTGTCTGTAGGTACGCATGTTCCGAATAGAAATTTTTATTTTTGAACCGATCCGAACCAAGCTTGGCACACATATCGGGGGGAGCAGATGTCAAAGGCTACTTTTCGTCTTCTAACGATATCAATAAATTATCGGTTTCTATTTTTTGCAAATTTCGATCTACGGAGCTACGAGTTGGCATGGGGGGGGGGTCAGTATGATTACGAATACAGTATTGATTTTGAAAAATTTTCCATTACTTTTATCGATTTTATCGGCCTTTTTACGAAGTTTCAGGTACGGGGCTGGGAGTTTGCATAGGGGGTAATCTAGCATGCTGATTACGAATACAATGTTAGTTTTCAAAATTAATCGTTACTTTTATCAATTTTATTGATTTTCCTGCAAAGTTCGAGCTACGGGGCTGGGAGTTGATGAGGTGGGTATGGTAATCGAGTATGCTGATTACGAATACAATATTAGTTTTTGGTATTATCCGTTATTTTTATCGATTTCACCAATTTTTTTGCAAAGTTAGACCTACAACATTGGAATGTTTCTAGTTTGAGGTACTTCCAAACTCGAATTTTGACGCGCTTTTCGTTCTGTCGCGCTCATCAGACTAGAAACTATCGACTCAGCAAAAATCAGATTTTTCTGCGGCTTCGATTTTTTATTGAGTCGGGATACAATTGAGGTAGATTTCCAAGTTTGCTCA